CATTTGATACGAATATATTTGACCTTTATAGATGATCCTATATAAACAATATGAAGAGAATCAGCTAAGCTAAGAGATTGCATACGATTTCAGTCAAGCCGTATGTTTCTAAGAATGATTAAGCTATAATTCTATCACTAAATGACTCTTTAACGAAAATTTCTCAAAGTACTTTTAATAGCGTAGCCAGAAATTTTAGGCCGCTAATCACTTTATCGATTCGTTCATTATCAGTTATATAATAGCACTAGTGGAGATAATTTCGATATATGTGGCACTTTATGGAATAATGCGTCTCATTATTGTGATAAATGCTTTTTTCTAAACGGAATTCAAATACCGTTACGGTGATAAAATTTTATTATTGAATGAGCAATTATCTAAATTTCTATGGTTTATGGATTAATAAATCCAAGCTATCCAACTAAATAACTTTCTGATAAAAAATTTTAACAGTTTGATGAAACTCGCTTAAATAGAAAATGGTGAACTAATGGCTTAACTAAAAATATGCTATTAGAATTTATCGTATTTCTAACTATTAGTTATATTCATTTTTTTTTTTTTGTCTTCGTTATCTTTGTTTTTATCATTTTTATTATTATAAATATTGAAAATTTTAGCAATTGTGAAATGTCGCGAAAGAAAGTATTTCGTTCGAAATCACTTCATTCGGATCAAGAAGGAAGAGATATGTGTGAAGGTAAGATATTTTCTCTTTTTTATCACATTTCATTCATTGCAATAATTCTAATCACTAGTTTATCATGAATTTTGGATAATCATTATTTTATAATGGATTTGCGTATTCATTAGTTTATCATCGATTTGCATAATCATTAAGTTTATCATGGATTTGCGTATTCATTAGTTTGTCATCGATTTGCATAATCATTAGTTTATCATGGATTTGCATAATCACTAGTTTATCATGGGTTTATCTAATTATTAATTTACTGTATATAATCACTAGTTTATAATGGATTCGCCTAACCACTAGTTTACTATGGATTTACCTAATCATTAGCTTATCGTTGGACTCTCGTAATCACTAGTTTGCTATGGATATATATAATAAGTTGCCGTGGATTTTTTTAGTTTAGTTTAGTTTTAGTTTTATTTAGTTTTACTAATATTGCTAGTTTTTACCATGAATTTAAATTGCAATCAGCAGCAGTGCTTTTCCTTCTATTAGGCCGAATTTTAATTTTATTTTTAAGAATTTTTCATGCTATCAGGTCGAGGGGTCAAGTAATTTCCGAAGTTTCTAAGCTTATATAATAGTTATAATAATATTGTATGCCTCGTTTTGTCGAGCGTCGTTAAATTTCTTCTTGCGATTTAGTAATGCTACGTGAATTTCCATATGAAAAAAATTTGCGACACTGTGTGCCTTACGAATTTTGCGAAAAGAAGCAATAACAACAACAGCGACATGAATGAAATATATCCAGAAACGAAAAGAAATATATCCAGAAAAGAAGTGTGAAAGTAGGTTTTCGAAATTTAGAAGTGGTAGTTTCAATGTAAAGGACGCCGATAGATCTTCAGAAGTTGATGAAGTTTTTTTGCGTCCCATAGTCGAAGCCGTTCTAAATATTGAATGCAGTCGCTGTGGAAATATGCTGTATCAGTCAATTATCTGCATGTTATGAGAAACTTAAGCACATTTGGTGTTTGGATTCGACATAAGCTCACCGAACTACAAATTGCTCCCTTCAACGATCCTCAGATCATTTTTGTTTTTTGCATATTTCTAGACAATAAATAGAAAGTGAGCTATTTTTTGAATAGAATTTGGTGATCTTAAAAAGTAAATCGTTATTTTCTACTTGCCGATGGTCATCAATAGGAGAAACACCAATGGTGTCTTCAAATTTCATCTAAATTGCTTGAGGCAACTGAAAAGAAAAGGTGTATTTTGCAAGAGTTCGATAAACATAAGAAATTTGGCCCAAAATTCTAGGAAAAATTTATTCACTTCTAATATTTTAATATTTTACATTTAACATTTATCTAACATTTTCAAATATTTGTGAAAAATTTGTGAAAAATGAGAAAAAAAGCGGTTTTATTTGATGACAATGCTGATGAATGTTTTGAATCCAAGGAACAAAACTTTTACTGAAAAAGAAATTCATAAAATGGTGGGAAAAAATTATGGAAAACGGTAGAGATTATTTGATTAACTGACTGATATGAAAATTATCTTACATAGAGGTTTCATAAAAAATGTTGGTCAGCTGGAAGTTCCACAGGTTTATAGCAATTGTTTAAAAAATACGAAACATTTGAATATTTTCGAGGCTTTATTTTAGAGTGGGAATTAAATTTCATTCGTTTATTTACTCAGCACTTAATATGTACTTTTTTTTTTATAAAAACATAAAACTCGGATGAGAATTTTTTTATCCAGAAATAAATAAATGAATAAATACATTGACGACGAATTATGGTAAAAATTATGGCTATGCTCGTGTCCTCCTTATCATATCACGCTTATCTTATCGGGCTTATAGAATAATCCAGTTGTTTACATATATTCTTATTTTTATAATTTCTTTCAATTTCTTTCATTTATAATTTATTTACTAAGCCATGCGAATATTTTCAGATGTTCTCATTCGAGGACTATTTAAATTTTATAATGAAATAAAGGAAATAAAGGAAATAAAATGAATTATTATAAATGAAAAAAATAAAGGAAAAATGGAAGGAATTATTTTTGGAATTTTGTGATAAATTAAGCAATTAAAAACTATATTATTGGATAAAGAATGATCAAATGAAAATAATATAATTTTAAATATATAATTATAAATATGAATATAATTAATATAAAATGTATGAAAATTATTTTAATTTATAATATTATATTTATTTAAAATTATATTCTATTATATTTAAAATTTAAATTTTTATATTATTTAAATTTTTTATTACATTTAAAATTATTTTCATTATTACTTATTATTAACTTATTTTTATATAAATATATAAATAATTTTGAGATTTTTAAAGAGATTTGAAAATAATTATGAATTATTTGGACGAGAAATTTCTACCGAACGAATAACGGAATATTTTCCAATATTAGGTTTATTATTTCCTATTTATTACCGCTGTTCGTTTCGTCCCATAAAAATTAATTGAATATTTCGATAAGTAATTAAGTAAGTAAGTAAGTGAGTGAATGATTAGCGCTCACCATTACTTACTTATTAGGTTAACTGCTGCATTCGTTAGCTATTGGTGCGGTTTCGTCTACTTGCAATCACCCTTTCGGTGATCCATCATCACCATCCGGATTTTTTTTTTTGAAAATTCAATTTTATCGAATTGAAAATAGAAGCGATCCTATCGAAAGTCGAAGAAACTAAGCCTTTTAACCGAATAGTGTAACAAAAGAAATTTTTGCGAAAAAAAAAATCTTTTTTTCCCTTTTCTTTTACGTTTTTTTTCTTTATTTTAAAGATTTAAAAATAAATATTTAAAAATAATAAATTTGGATTTTTTGTATAAATATTTATTTCCTTTTTTTCGGAGTTCCTTTAAGCTTTAAGATTTTTTTTTTAAAACTAAATTTTGATTTGCTTCCAAATAGAGAGGAAAAGTCCAGGTGGTGCCCACAACCCACAACCCACAACCTATATTTCTACTCGGAAGTGATTCGTTAACGAAAATTTCGCATAATCTCTAATCAGCTAATCATTCATATACTTGAACCACGGAAGTAGGTTTTTTTGAGATTAAAAGAAGAAAAATACTTTTTTCAAACTTCTCTGAACATTAATTATTTATTCGTTTTTTTTTTGCCTTCTTGATAATAATTTATATTCAAAAATTTTTCATATTTTTTTTTTGGAATTTTATGGTTCCTTTCTAAGGTGAAAAAAAAATGAAATGATTTGAAAAATGATATAAAAGATTGAAATGATAAATTTTTCTATAAAAAACAGCTGAAATCGAAAAGGGTTTTTTTTTCTTCTAGGAGGGGGGTCTATTTTTTAATATTATTATTGTAAATGGAATAAATTATGAAATATTTGAATAATCTTTATGCGAACATATAGAGAGAAGGAATAATTGCTTATCAGTTCGGTCAATAAGAATGTTTCGATTCAATTTTTAAGGACAATTTGAATTATTTATGACGTTTATGACGATTTTATCACTATTATTTTAAGTGGAATTTATGAAATTTCATTTAGATTTTTTTTCTAAATTATAACAGTTAAGCTATAATTATCAGTAGAATTATCAATAGATATCAATAGTCCATTTAGAAAGGGAAAAAATTCCTACAAAATTCCTGTTAAATTTAATTTTTCCATTTTCCATTTCCGGAAATTTTCATCAAACTTTCAATTTTAAAATGAAAAATGAGCAAAATTGCAAATGAGAATATAGTTATCAATCTTATCAGTATTTTTGCCGGAAGGGAAAAAATTGCAATTATTATTGAATGCTAATAATAAAAGAGAGAGAGAGAGAGAAAGAGATGTAGGATAAGCGAATGGATAGTGGTTTATCTTGTTGAAAAGCGAAGTTTCGACTTCCATCCACCACTTTGCTACAAGAATAAGCTTGTGAGAATTAAGAAAAATGCTGTCGACACTGCATCCTATATTTTTTTTATCGTCAAGTCGCTTGTCTTTTTGATATTTATTGTTATCATAAATTTTCGTTAGTTCATTTAGTTAGTTAGTTAGATCGAATTTCAAAAATTTTGAAACTTTGAGAAAAATTTCATTTCGTTTTTCTTTTTTTCCTTCCTTTCTTTCTTTCCTTTTCGAACAAAACAACAATTGGAAATTATTTACTTATACGGCAGTTTCAATCCAAATTTCCATTCGTATAATCCGCTCACATATCCATCCATGCATTTGTCCATGCATCTATCCATGCATCCGTTCATGTGTCCTTCCGTGCATCTGTCCATACATCTATCCATGCATCCGTTCATGTGTCCTTCCGTGCATCTGTCCATACATCCATCCATGCATCCGTTCATGTGTCCTTCCGTGCATCTGTCCATACATCTATCCATGCATCCGTTCATGTGTCCTTCCATGCATCTGTCCATACATCCTTCCTTGCATCCGTTCATATGTCCTTCTGTGCATTTGCCCATACATTTATCCATGCATCCTTTCATGTGTCCTTCCATGCATCTGTCCATACATTTATCCATGCATCCGTTCATGTGTCCTTCCGTGCATCTGTCCATACATCCATCCATGCATCCGTTCATGTGTCCTTCCGTGCATCTGCCCATACATTTATCCATGCATCCGTTCATGTGTCCTTCCATGCATCTATCCATACATCCATCCATGCATCCGTTCATGTGTCCTTCCGTGCATCTGTCCATACATCTATCCATGCATCCGTTTATGTGTCCTTCCGTGCATCTGTCCATACATCTATCCATGCATCCGTTCATGTGTCCTTCCATGTATCTGTCCATACATCCTTCCGTGCATCCGTTCATGTGTCCTTCCGTGCATTTGCCCATACATTTATCCATGCATCCTTTCATGTGTCCTTCCATGCATCTGTCCATACATTTATCCATGCATCCGTTCATGTGTCCTTCCGTGCATCTCTCCATCCATCCATGCATCCGTCTATATAACCGTCCATGCGTTCATCTGTGGAATTATATCATGTATCGCTATATATCTGTCCATGCATCTGTCCATGTATTCATCCATATATCTACACATTCATCCATAAATCCCTTATATATCCACCCATATATCTGAGGAATGGCTCAGTGAGTTGTTTCTAAATTTGGAGTGCCGATACTGAGGTTCGATTCTCCGCAGAGCTAAACCTGTCCAAAAATCCGGGTGATGCTGGCGATTCACCTTTACTTCTATTGGCACGGGACTTCCTGGCATATTTGTCCAGTGGGAGAAGCCAGCGAAGCGAGTTTAGCTAGTAATGGTGAGGACTCTTTAAAAAAAAATTATCCGCAGAATGTAAAAATTCCTTACTTTTTATTTTTTGGATATCCTTAATAAAATTTCATATTTCGAAATCTTAAAAGCCCGACATGTTTATAATAAAAGATGAATGCATTTTCGAAATAAAAATTACGAAAACATCGTTAAAATTGCTTTCATTTATTATTATTATCGTTAACTTCATTTTACGAAGTTACTTCTAACTTTTAACTTTTAATATTTCTTCCTTATCACTGTTATTATCACTGTGCGACTATTTTTTGTTATCATTATTATTTAGAATTTAGAATTATCATTACATCATTTATTATTAATTTTTTCTTAACTTTTATTATTAAAAAATGTTTTTTATCAATTCTTTTTTTTTATCAATTTGATTTTGTGCGATTCTATTCTCATGTGATTCTCCATAAAAGTGATTCTATCGCATTAGCCAATGTAAGCAATCAAATCATAAATTTTAGAAGACCAAACGATCATCTTTCTTATAGGAAAAGAATTAAAAGAATTAAAAAATGCACAAAAAAAAAGAAAATTTTTTTTCACAAAAAATTTTTTCCAAAATTTATCAATCTTTGATTATTTATTTTTGATTATCAGTTTAAATAAATAATTAGTTGGTTAATGAATCGAGTCGATAAGAGTAAAAGAACAAATGTGTCATTAATAAATTTATGCGGCGTTGGCTATCCACAAATGTGTTTCTATCTATCTGACTCGGCAGATTAGCAAAAAATTTCTAAGTGTACCAGTTTAAAATAGTTTAATCAGCGAGGGAACTTAGCCAGAAATAATTTAGGCTAATCGCCAAGCCTCCTCGGTCAATTGAAGAAATCGCTTGCTCATCGAAATTATGCAAAAATTGGTTTTGCTATTTTTAAAGAATTCTTTGTTATTCAGTTTAGATTTTTTTTGCAAAAAACTTTATTCATTGATCAATTTTGAGGATATTTATGAATTAAATGAACGATAAAATTTGTGGTTATAATAATAATTTATTATTTATTTTTATATTTATATTTATTCATTTTGATTTATTTTTTTTTTAATCGTTTGATTGAAAAAAAAGAAATTTTTTTTCTAAAAATTATTAATTTTTATTGTCGAAAAAAATTTTATACGAAATTAATTTTTATTTTTATTTTTATATTTTTTAAATTTTTATTTTTAAAATTTAAATTTTTTTAAATTTTTATATTTAAATTTTTATTTTTTATTTTTATATTTTTAATTTTTATATTTTTATTTCTTTATTTGATTAGTTTAACTATCCAAAAATTCATGGAATTTTTCATTAAATTTTGGAAAATTTTTAGATAAATAAAAATTTACAATAATATTTTATAATATTAGAAAATAATAATATTTAGTTAAAATGGTGTTAAAGAAGACTAATTTTTTAAAATTTTATTCACTTTTATAAATTAGTGATTAGCAGTGATTAGAAGTTTTTACCATATTTGATTAGGCTTTACACCATTAGCAGCTACCAATAGTAGAAATATGGTCACCAAAAACACATGGATTTTTTTGAACGATTCTTATCGGATGAGAATGAGGAAGGTTCATTTTCTTATTCAATACGAGAGTCACTATCATGCACATGTCTCCTGTGCTTGTTAAATTTTTATAGGTTAAATTTTTTTTTTTTCTCGACACATTAGTGATTTGCCCGTCCTCAAACCAGTTCGTATCACTTTCCGTTAATAGATATATATATATATATATAAATATCGGAAGTTGAAATTTACCTTCAAAAAGTTCCATGTTCCTTTTACTTATTTTACATATTGTTTTTTATAATGCATTTTTAATAATTGTTTTTCCTTTTTTTTTCTCTTTATATCTTTTTAATAATAATAGTAATAACAATAATAAAAAAATTTAATGATTTTGATATTGATTATATCGATATTGATGATAGTTTGAAAATAGCGATTAACGATCACCAACGATTTTTACGTTAAGCTAATTTCCATTAGCTATTAGTTTGTTGAAGAATTTTGCTATCATTTATCATTTATCAATAGAAATATATAGATAGATCGCAAGCATATTCTTGTCGAAAGAATCTTATATGATTTTCTAAGCAGTTCTGAGTAATTCGGCAATCCTATCTCCTATCGAGAAATAATGAGCGCTAAATAATTTCTATCTAATATATACTATAAATAACTATAAATAAGGCAAGAAGACAATAATTTTGTCAAATTTAGCAGTAATTTTAATAAAAAAAATTAAATAATAATTGAATTTTAAAAATATAGAGAAATTTTTCAAAATTTATAAATATTATAGAAATAAAATTTATAAATATACTCGAAGAGAGAAAAATATTTTTCTGCTTGAAAGAAATACAAATTTTATCATATCATATCATATCGTTTCAAGGAAATATACGACAGGGGAATACTGGTGGTTGAGTTGAGTTTTTTGTCGAATTCGATTGATGGAAAAGCAGATTAGCAGATGAGTTTCCGATCTGTTGGAACTTTTAAATCTCGTAAATTATCAAAATTAAAAGTGGCTACTAAGATCCATCTTCGCTTATACTCCTAACTAACTCTCTTGCAAAAGAACCATAAATATTAATGGTTCTTTGCTATTAGAAGAAGAAAGATTTTTTATAATTTTGCAACCTTATCAATATTATCAATGTGATCAAATTTTAATGAAAATATAAACAAAAATTAGACGAAAAAAATTCGAAGAAAAGAGTTTATAGATCAGTTAATAAATAAAGAAAATCCCTAAAGATTTTGGAAAACTAAATGCAATATTTTGGTTAGACTTATTTTCAACAATATTAGTTTAGTGATATTTTATATTTTATGAGATAAAATAAGTCGAATAGTTGTATCGTCTTCGAAAATCGAGGTTCGAGAAAATCGAGGGCCCTATTTTTCTCTTGCTAAAAAATTCGAGTGATGCACGCCTCGTGCACCTCTATTCGCTTCTTTCTATTCTCGGGTGATTCTCTGGTGAAAAATTTCTCTTCTAGGAAAGAAATTAATTTTTTAGAGAGCCTAAGAGACTAAACCTAAGGCGCCTCAGGACGATACTTAATTATTGCATTATTGAAAATCTTTTTTTCCTTCCATATTTTTTAAAAATATAATATTATTTTAGTTTCTTTTCAAGTGTGTTGTGAATGCGAATATACTTATAAAAATCTTTAAAATTTTAATCAATAGATTTAGTGAAAGAAAAAATATTTTAAATAAAAATATTAAAAGATTTATTTATTTTTTTTTTAGAAAAATGCGGTGTAATTAATGAAATAAATCGCCGAGAAATAATATTTTAGATAAAATTTGGTGAATTTCAACTTGAAAAATCTCTTTAAAAAAAAATAGTAAATAATTAATGAATAATTATAATTTTTGATTATTATTAGTTGATTACTTTAGAATAAAATAATAATTTATGGTTAGCGATCGATCAATTTCGAAATTCTCGCCAGAGAATGTCCATTTGGTGATAGAAGTATAAGTGAATCACCAAAGGAACCGAATTTGTCACCATTCATGCGACTATTTATTCCTTCGTGAAGAAATAATCGTTTTTTTTTGAGAAAATAATTTATCAGAAAGCAATAAGAACGAAAATTATAACGATAGAAATGCAATTACATCAGGTGATTAGGGAAATCACGTCATTGCATTTTCTTCTTCTTTTAACAAACTCGCACCATTGCTGATTTGGTTGATTACTCTGGTGATATTTTAGAATAAATAATTTTAATAATATAATAATTGGTAATATTACTTATTATTTGTAAGATGATGAATAAAAATTATGATAAAAAAATGATAAATAAAAATATGGAGATAATATAAGCATGATAAGAAGCATGGAGATAATATAAGCATGATAAGAAGCATGTTAAAGCCGAATAAAAAAAAAAAAAATTGATAAGTCTGATATTAAAATAATACTTGGAGATTTGGAAGTGTAAAATTTTTGTGTATTATCACAAAATAAATGGAAGAGAATATATAAACTAAATGGCCAGCATTTCTGGCTAAATTCGGTTCATTGATTGATTTTTAGTTGGACTTCAAAATTTTTTATGAGAATCATTTTGGAATAGAAATACAAAAGAATGTTTATTCCCAGCGGCAGTCGATAGTTCATATTTATTCTTATCAGAGATAAGTTCGAATATTGACGCTCGAGGCAATATTCTAAGCATTTAGCACTATTCGGCTATCCTTTCCTCGACATAAATTTATTTAGATTATAATTTTTTATTTTTATATTCACAATTATTTGATAAGCATATTCAGTAGTTCTAATAACATTCAAGTAACTTTATTCAAGAAAATTAACTTTATCATTTTAATTTTATTAAAATTAAATTAGTGTATTTAATAAATATATTAATATATTAATAATTCAATAAATTTATAAAAAAAAAAATTTCGCCTGAAAATAAAAAAAGCAAAAACAAAAAACGTTAGGAATTTTTTCTGTAGGAAATTAGAAATTCTATAATAGTAATAATAGTGATATTTAAGTAAAATAATAATAGTATTTAAGTAAATAAATAAGAAAGTAAGTAAGTAAGGAGGAGGGCTTATGGATTGAAGCAAAAGGCGAAAGCAGCTGGACGCATTCATTGGCTTATGGCAGGATAAGCAAGCAATATTCCTCTATGAATAGGGTTTTATGCCAACAGGCATCGTCGTTGTCGTTTCTTTATTAGCAAGCAAGCTTTATTGATTGCAATTCTTTAAATCTACTTATTTTTATTTATTTATACTTATTATTATTATAAGTAATGGATGAAGAGAAGGATAATCTCATAGATAATCATAGAGATGATTTACAATCAGAAAATAAAACTATAACGACGATTATAAACTACGATGATGAAGATATTTGTAAAAATTTCGTAGAAAATGAAACAATCAATGGTACTTCTGCTACTATTCATCGTCCATTTCTAGAAGGTCATCGTGATAGTATATGGATGTCTATGGGTATTAATATGACTGATGAAGAACGAAGAAAACGACGTATGAGTCGACGACGTGAAAGTCTCGATGCTGAACAGCAATTAGCGTCACTTGGTTAGTTGATTTTTTTTTTTTATAAAAAGAAATTTTAGTTTTATCACTTATCAAATTTTCATTTATCATTTAAAAGTATTGTTTCTTTCCAATTCTTTATTGAGATTGAGTAATGGTGAGAGGGAAAGTGGACAGGGAAGAGAATGGATTGATTGTTGGATGCTTGGAATGAGGATAAAATAATATTGAATTCCTTTCCTTTCCTTATCCCTTATTCCTTCAATAAACCTTATGCACCAATAATCCGGTTGGCGATTTTCCTATAATAACATTAATGAATGTCACCTCGAAATAAGTCAAGTGACATTGATGAATGTTACCTCGAAGTAAATCAAACGAGTAATGAAATATGTAAGTGGTTCATGATGTCTTAAGATTTATATTCATAGACCGTTTTCATCTATAATTTAGTATATTTGTTTTATTTAAATTTAATAATTTAAATTACAATAAAATTAAAATCAAATTGAAAGCCTAGTTTCAAGCTAAAATTTTCTCATACCATCTGCAAAAAGTCATTTTAAAACAAAATGACCAAATGGTAAGTTGTCCAATTATCCATGACGATTTTCATTCCGCTCTTTGAAATAAGTAAACCTAATTCAGGTGATTCCGTGACCCATCAGGCTATATTTCTATTCCTAAGCGATTAAAAGATCCAACGAAGAATGATCTTCAAATAGCCAAAATAATTGGAAGATTACTTGAAATATTTTGACTGTTTTATCTTTTAGGTTATTCTTTCTAGATTATCCTTTATTTCCAGCTCATATGGAATACTAATAAAGAATTTTTTTTGCAAGGATGAGGTGGTGGTGGTGATGGTGGAAGGTAGGGGGGGGGGGGGGGGTGGGGGGGGGGGGGATTTTGGAAGAAAGGCGGTTAGCTATAATTCTTTTTTCATTCTGGCTCATTGGGAATTTTTCTTCTCTTTTTTTTTCTTTTTCTTTTTTTTAGTTAAATCGTTGAAATAAGTAATAATTCATCATCGCCTTTTATCAAATGACAATATGTTCTTGTTTAACTTATTTGAAAATTGAACCAACCAACCAACCAACCAAGCAACCAAACAACGAATATATTGTTCAACTCATTTTTGTCCCTTCTTTCCAGTATTTTCTTCTTATTCGCTTGGTCATTTGAAAATTAGGAAAATTATGGGAAAATAAGAAATTTTATAAAGATTTGTTTTCGTTAAACTTTGAATTTATTGATTATAATTAAATATAAATATAATTAAAACCTTATATATACACGTTTTCGTTCTTCACATATTTTATACTTTTGATACTGAATTTCCGTCTCCAATTCAAACGAAATGACAAAATGCTAGTTGCCAATGGAAATGACAAAATGCTATTAGCCAGTGGAAATGACAAAATGCTAGTCACCAGTGGAAATGACAAAATACTGTTAACCGGTGGAAATGACAAAATATTGTTAGTCGGTGGAAATGACAAAATGCTAGTTGTCAATGGAAATGACAAAATGCTAATAGCCAGTGGAAATGATAAAATGCTAGTAGCCAGTTGAAATGACAAAATGCTATTATCCAGTGGAAATGACAAAATGCTAGTTACCAATGGAAATGACAAAATGCTAGTTACCAATGGAAATGACAAAATGCTAGTAGCCAGTGGAAATGACAAAGTGCTAGTAGCCGGTGGAAATGACAAAATGCTAGTAGCCAGTGGAAATGGCAAAATGCTAGTTGCCAGTGGAAATGACAAAATGCTAATAGCCGGTGGAAATGATAAAATGCTAGTAACCAATGGAAATGACAAAATGTTAGTAGCCAGTGGAAATGACAAAATGCTAGTAGCCAGTGGAAATGACAAAATGCTAGTTACCAATGGAAATGACAAAATGTTAGTAGCCAGTGGAAATGACAAAATGCTAGTTGTCAATGGAAATGATAAAATGCTAATAGCCGGTGGAAATGACAAAATACTAGTAGTCAATGGAAATGGCTAATGAAGAACGGAACGGAAAAATGAGCGCTAATTACTTACTTATTTTTTTACCTTATTTATAGGCAAATTTATAAATAACACTCTATAGATGGAAATTATTTGAATATAGTAGAATTATTAAATTCGATTTAATAATTATTCAAAATTTGTTATTAATTCATTATAGTAAATAATATATATATATATTAATTATTTTATAGTAAAATTTAAAAAATTTATAAAATTTTTTTGGGATTTAAATTGAAAATTTTGTTTATTTAATAGCATTTTCAGTGATTAGATGATTAGGTAAAAAATTTGCAAATTTTTGCTTATTTCTTTGCTTATTTCAAGTTTTTTTGTTTATTTTATTGAAAAAAATAGAAATTTTTCGAATAAATTTTCGAGAGAAATGCAGTTTTTCGAGTAATTTTCGAGTAAATTTTCGAGAGAGAATCGATGCAACATCGATCTTTCTCGTCAGAATTTCGAGTCGTAATAAATTGTTGCTTTGCTACTTTCGCGAATGGCTTTGCTAGGCTGATTAGACTTCCCTAAACGTGGATTTCAAAAAAAAAGAATTTTTGATAATTAAATGAATTTGGAAATTGTTCTCATTATTAGTGAATAAAATTACTGCTATTCTATCATTAATTCTTATTGGATTTCTGGATAATTATTGGTTGTAGTTAGCGCCTCCTTTTCGGTTTTTTTCCAGCTTTTTTTCCTTACTTTTTATAAAGTTGTAGGATTTTGTGGAAAATTGAAGAAATACTTTCAGTTGATTATTCATTCGTTTCCGCGAAACTTCAATTTTTAACGAATTTTGCTAGCAAATAAGCAAATTCTCATCGATTTCTCAAAACAAATTATTTATTTTTCATTCTTTCTTATTATTTATTTAAAATTTAATTGATTTCATTGAATAAAAGCTTTTTTTTTGTTTAAATAATTTTTTTTAATATTTTTAAAAAAATAAAAAATAAAAAATCGAGGAAAATCATTTAAAATTCTCGAATATTTTTTTAAGTGAATAAATTTATTGTTGAATTTTTTATTATTTTGAATTTATTGTAAATTTATTATAAAATTTATTATTATATATTTTAAATTTTAAATAAATATTTTAAATGAAAAAAGTTTAATTTTTAAAAAATTAAATGTTGATTAAAATGATTTTAACAAAAAGCTCTATTATTGTCAGAGTTTTCAGAATTTTCAGAATTATCGGTTTAAATTGGCTAAAATATTTGCAAAAAAAATTAGGGATTAGTTTGTGAGTGAAATGAATGGTACTTTCAATTTTTCAGTTTGTCACCTTTAGATAACCTATTTTTTTGAATTTCTCCTTGACTACTATATCGTTATTAAAATAAGTGAGTAAACGATAAGCATTCATCGGTTTTTCCTGGTCTGAATTCGCTCATCTGTCATAGGGACAAATTAAACGCGTCACTCGTCAATATGAGAGCCAAAGAGAGCATTCTGCACTCTTTTATTCTTTCTCACATTAATTATTAATAAAATGCATGTTTCTTCGTTAATGCGGCAATATTTATGATTAAAATGATTTTAGCAAAAAATTTTAGCAAAAAAAAAATAAAAATATATTTTATATATTCAAAAATATTTAATTGAAAAGATGAAAAATTTTGGAAAAAATAAATTTTTTTTTTCTTCAAATTGCAACTAAATTATTATAAATTATTACAGAGTTTAAGAAATTTTAGTAGAAATCTATTAAAATTTTTGAAAAATTTCAGACAATGTTGATTTAAAAAAATACTTTTATTTTATTTTACTTTATTTTGTTGATAATTGATAATTGACTATTGATAATTGATTTTTCATTAAATAAATTACTATATAAATATATAAATATATTTAAATATATAAATATAAATATATGATATAAATATATTTTTATCAATTTTCGCATGTTTTGCAATATTTAAGTGGTTTTTTAAATTTTACATTTAAATTTTTAAATTTTACTTATTATTTACTTATTTTTTTACTCATTCATTTACTTATTTGATAAATTTTACCCATAAGTAAAGTAAATGAAGAGATAAAGTGAGTAATTAATTAGTTAGCAATTAGCATTTTCTGATAAACTGATTAGTGCGCTACCGAATCGAACCTTTTTTTTTAACCTCTCAGCACAATAAACTGAGTTAGCACTCGGCTATGCTATCTTTTTATAAGTAAGGTAAATTTAGATTTGCTTTTCCTAGATAAATATATATGTTGGACTGAATGTTTGAAAGGTTCTTCAATTACATAACAGATGAAATGGACTGAAGAAAATGAAAGTTAAGAGAAAGCTGTCAGTAAAAAGTCGAATGAAATGCTTGGTAATTAATTATTGTTGAATAGAAAATGTATTCACGCTATTCATATTTATATTATTAGTATTAGTGAATATTTTCGCAGTAATTTATTAATTTTCCCGAGTTTTTAACTTTTTTTTAAATTATCAATTATCAGTTAAATATCTATTTTATCAGTTAAACATTCATTTATTAATATTAAATTAATATATACGTGTAGAATAAGCAACAATGGCTTATTGTTCCACCATTTTTGAAATGTTAATGCTTATATAGCAGAAAGAAATGTGCCTTTTCACAAAATTCCTGGTGATTTAGTTATCGCTAAATTATTTTTCTGATACGGCAAACCAGTGAAATTTGCCTAATTAAGAATAAAAATAATGAGCTCCCTAAAAAAAAGAAAAAAAAGAATTCAATAATTTATATAATTTTTATTTTAATTATTACTTCCTTCCTTCGTCATTATAATTCGCAAAGGTGTGTGACACATTTATTTATTTATTTATTTTTGGCTCTTATAAATTTGATTATATTTTTAAAAAATTATATGATAAATTTACACTCTTGCGATGAGTATTCTCAGTGGAAATTAACGAAACGTTGGACGACAATAAATCAAATACGTTGACCAGTTGTCATTCCAAAATTTTATTATAAATATTACAAAATTAATATTAAAATATTATCGCTAAATTTAAAAAATATTAAAAATTTTTCAGTTTTTTTTAAACAATCATAAATTTCCTATATTATTTTTGTAGTTCATTTAGTGTTTTCTTTTATTAATTATTTATTTGTTTTTAAAAAATAAATACAAAAAAGTAATTAAAAAATAATTTTGAATTATTCTTGAGGGAAAATTAATATAATGCATTAATAAATAAATAAACTATAATATCGAATAATTAAATCAAAATTTAGTTAAAATATGCAAAAAAATTTCTACAAATCTTTAATTTTTTATTTTTATTTTATATTTTTATATAAAATTTATTTATATTTATTTTTCATTTGGTTATATTTAAAAAAGAATTTGTTATATTTCTATTTCTTTTATTTAATGAAATATTCATTTTAATGAAATTTTTATACATATTTCTATGATGAAATAATATATAATGAATATGAAAAAATTTAATAGAAATGGAAATTTTCGTTTTAATTTTCTTTTTTTCTAATTGTTTCTACGCTCTTTTGGCCCATACGATTCAGATCTTTAGCTGTAATTCGCTCTTTTGGCCCATACGAGTTAGATCTTTAGCTGTAATTCGCTCTTTTGGCCCATACGAGTTAGATCTTTAGCTGTAATTCGCTCTTTTGGCTCATATAAATTAGATCCTTTGCTTTATTGCGCTCTTTTTGGCTTATATTAGATCTTTTTTTTCTTCATTTTATCATTAACAATTTTTTAATTTTTAAAAAAAAAAGAATAATATTTCAGCTCCAAGTACACGAGTGATGTTTTTATTGAAAGAAAAGAACGAAATGCCGGCGTTGTTCACTGAAATGAACGAGCTGAATCGATCAGGTCGAATGGAAGAATGGCGTGAAACAGCACGATGGGTAAAATTCGAGGAGGATGTCGAAGAAGGTGGCAATAGATGGTCAAAGCCACATGTTGCAACCTTATCACTTCATTCATTGTTCCAGTTGCGATCATGCCTTTTGAATGGAGTTGTTTTAATCGATTCATTGGCAAATTCGATGGCCGAACTCACTGGTCACAATTCGTTTGATCTTATGATCTTGAGGCACCCCAAAAAATATCGCTAGCAGTAAAGGTTATGATATCGTAATGATATGATTTCATATAATCACAATCACCTCTCATGTATTTCACTTCGGTTCATTCGAGAATGCTTTCATGCAAATATCGAAAGTGTATTTAGATTACTGGAAATTTTATTATTTCTCATTTCTTCCTCGATTTCATACGCTTTATTATTTAATTAATTTATCAGTATTAATTAATTTATATTTTAAAATTTTTTTGACTTTTGTATATTGGTGAATCAATTTTAAGCTTACAAAAAAAAAACCCAAAACAACAATAAAACCATGTGATAATTTTTCATGGATAGCAAATATTCGATTTTCATGAATGAAATAAATTTTTTTTCCAAAAAATTTCATGGCTTATCTTGAGATTGATTAGTATTATGAGTTATATTAGATAAGTTTTTAAATTAATTTAAATTATTCGTTACAAATTTAAATTATAAATTTAAATTGCCATTTATTATTAATTATTAAATAATAAAAGATTTTGATATTAGCAGCATTAATTATTTTTAGAAGAGCTCCTTGATAAACTTGTTGAAAACAATCAGTTAGAAGAGTGTGAAAAAGATGAAGTTCGTGCAGTTCTTTCTCGGCGACATACTCATCAATACGAACAGGTTGATTTATTTTATTTTATTTATTTTTTATTTTTTTATTTAAAAAATAATAACTCTATTTTATGAATTAATTATTATTATTTTTAAATTTTAGGCTCGAGGACTTGGGAATGGGAATAGTGGGTCGCAAGGAGGATTTTTAAATGCTGTACGTTCCATATCCGATATTGGTAAAACGTTTTCACATGGACGTAATTTAATGAAAGCAGCTGAAGAAGTGGAAGAACGTCATAATAAAGGTCAATCGCCTAATCTTCAACTACCAAAAGTTGGTTTTTTTTTTCGTAAAATGATTTTTATAAGATATAAATTTTAGTAGTTGTTCTTCGTTCCTTTAGTTTTTATTTTTTTTTTATCAATTTTCTCTCTTTTATTTTTACGATCCATTCCACTAAAATAATCTCCATTAGGATAGTTTTTTTTATAATTTTGAAAAAATATCTAAAAAATAAATAATAAAAAATAAATAATAAAAAATATCTATTTGCTTTATTTGAAAATTGCCTACTAATTATGCGAAATAATTTTATAATTTTACTATTTTATTATATAATTTTAATTTTAGCATATAATTTTATGAAAAATGAGATTTTTTAATTTTTTTCTTCACAATATGTATGAAATTATTGCTTGAGGCATTGAAATTAAAAATAAAATAATTCACTCTTTTTTTTCGATATTTTTCAAATTTTTGATTATTGATAAGTACGAAATATATTGAAGAAATTTATCAGATTTCAGGTGGGATCCATTCCAAAAGATATCTCTCGTGAAAACTCACAATGCGAGATAAAAGGTAATTTACATTTCATGAAAAAATTACCGCATGGAGCCGAAGCATCTAGTGTGCTTATTGGTGAAGTTGATTTCCTCTCGCATCATATAACCGCATTTGTTCGTCTGAAGAATGCTTGTATACTCGGAGATCTTACTGAAGTTTGTTATTTTTGGTTTGATCATTGTTCCATTGGTTCCATTGGCTTCCATTGGCTGATCATACACAATTAGGAATTTTTCACAAGCGAGTCACTTGGCTATATTTAATGATAGATCGCTAGTACCAGTCAGATTTTTTAATGATAGATTTATATTCTTTTTGTATTAGTTAAATTTTACTATTTAGTAAATTTATGGATTTTTAGAATGAATGAAAATTTTCTAATAAATGCAAATTGTTCAAGACTATTAAAATTTGACTAAATTAGTTAGGCATTTTCTTAGGATTTTATTTTGTTGGAATCGAATAAATAAATTCTAAATGAAGGATTCCTTTTTTATAGGTTCCTCTTCCCACTAGATTTATTTTTTTACTTCTTGGACCAAGCGGTCATTCTGCTCAATATCGTGAGATTGGACGAGCCATTGCTACATTAATGTCTGATGAGGTAAGTAAGTTTTTCTTTCCTTTTTTTTTTCTTAGGTTCGTCAGTGATGGAACATGTCTGTTTGCTTGGGAGAATATTAGGGGAAAGAAAAAAAAAATTCTTCTGAATAATTTTTATTTTATTCGTTTTAGATTTTCCATGATGTGGCCTATAAGGCTCGTGATCGAACGGATTTGCTCGATGGAGTCGATGAATTCCTCGATCAGGTTTTTCTACCTTTTTTTTTCGTGATTAATAGGAAGAAATTATTTTAGAAAGCTTATCGATCCAATAATTCCAATATTTTTTATTTGAAAACAGGTAACTGTTTTGCCTCCTGGCGAATGGGACCCAAATATTCGAATCGAACCGCCAAATATTATTCCTTCTCAGGATAAAAGAAAACAGCCTTCCCAGCTATTGCTTTCTGAAACTCCGGCGCCAAAAAAAGTATTGAGTTTTTCAATTTTTTTGATAATTTTTTTTGAAATTAGTGATAACTTATCACTGTCACTAATTTCGATTTATTTTCGTAATAATTAATATTATTCTTTGTAAGTTATGAGATGCAAAGGAAAAATACTAAAATTATGAATAAACAACAATTTTAGGCATTAAAGTTCCATAGATTTTACAAAACACTTCTTTTTTTTAACTTTTTATTTTGTGAAATTTTTAATTTAATTATTATTTATCGTTTTATTTGTATCGATTATGGTTTATTCTTTCTAAATAAATGGAAATTTTAGGATGAAAACGAAGAAGAGGGTCATGGAAACGATCCAGCTTTGAAGCGAACGGGTAAATTATTCGGTGGTCTAATTTTGGATTTAAAACGAAAATTGCCATGGTATCCATCAGATTTCACCGACTCATTGAATTTACAATGCATAGCGACGTTCTGTTTCATGTATTTTGCTTTACTCGCTCCAATCGTCACATTCGGTGGTCTTCTTGAGGAGGCGACTCATCAAAGAATGGTTAATTTTTCTTACTTGTTTGTTTTTTTTTCTTTTGCTTAAAATTTTTATAAAATAAATTTTATATTGAATTCGATTCGAATGAATTTAGATAAGTTTATTGTATTTTTATTATTTTTATTCAAAAAATTGTTTTATTTTTAGCTATCAAAAAAGAATTATGAAAAATAATGATTTTTAGGCCGCTATGGAAAATTTATTTGGTGGTGCGATTTGTGGAATACTCTACCATTTCTTTAGTGGGCAACCTTTAACAATAATCGGTTCCACAGGACCAGTGCTTGTATTTGAAACTATTGTATTTGATTTGTGCTCCTCAATGAATTTGGACTACCTCTCATTTCGCTTATGGATTCATGTTTGGACCGCTGCAATTCTTTTTGTTATGGTCATGACTGATGCCAGTTCATTAGTGAGTTTTCTCATTTCTCATTAATTCACTAATCGAGTTGAAAATATTTCTAAATTGAGTTTTTTTTTTAAAAAAAATTGATTTTTATTTTTTGCAAAAATGCTTCTATCAGTCAGTTATAATCTAAGTACCAATAGGATCGATATTCTCTGTATATGCCGAAATCAATCCCCCAGTAGATCTTCAAGATATGTTTACTTACGTATTTGCCTGCAGGCTCGTTTCCTTTCGAGCATATACACTGGCAGATATCATAAAGACAATTTTATAGATAATTTAATTTATTTTAGAATAATAATAAAATATTTATTTTAATAGGTTTCCTATATTACTCGTTTCACTGAAGAATCCTTCGCAACTCTTATCGCAGTTATTTTTATCTATGAAGCAATAATGAAATTATTAAAAATTAAGGAACAACTCGATGTGATCGATTTTAGTGTTAATGTTTGTTAAATCGCTTTATCCAAATTCTCTTTTAATTTCCATAAATTATATAAATGAAAATGTCAATTCCAACTTCTTTGGAACTTCTATGATTCATTTATAGGCATCGATGCGAGGTTGCCAATGTATCAGTAATAATGTGCCAATGGAGAAGGTGGTTGTTGCAGCGCATCGGCTTGGTTGGAATGATGTAATCATTAATGGTACTAGCGTCGACTATTCAGCAGTAAGTCTTTTTTTTCTTGTTGGGGGGGAGGATTTATTTAATATCATCGATGGCGTCGATGGCTTAATAGTACGATGATTGCCACCAAGAATCGAGAATGGCTTATGTTCGAATCTGGCTGGTGCATCGCACTTTGTTAGCAGTGTCGTCGAATGGCGAAAAGAAATAACATAAAACTCAATAGGTTGTTGCTCACTTTCTTAGTCGATGCTGTGGTTCCACGTCTGCCACGAATAAACGTATTCTTCAGAAATCGGATGATGATGCTGGCGACTCACCTACATTTCTATCGTCGTCTTCCCTAGCAAAATTTGTCTGGTTTACAAGCCAGTAGAACTAGCAGCGATGGTGAAGGCTGTTAGCAAAAAAATTGAACGAAACCTAAAACTCTATTGGTGAATTAATAGTATTTTATGTATCGCATATGCATCTATAAAATTTTTAGAATTTTTTGGTACTTTTAGAGGACTTTTAGTTATTGTAATTTGCCTATGTTGATTAAAAAAATTTTTTTAATTTTCACTGTTCGCTATTTCAAATTTCTCATCGTAAAAGCTGGAAACCTAAATCTTATCAAATCTTATCAATATTATCAGAAAACATGTGAAATAATGAATAATAATTTTTTTTTTTTTTTAAGGTAGAATTGGGTCGTTGTAAAAGTTTATATGGAACATTGGAAGGTGATGGATGTCACATTATTTATGATAAATTGTTGATGTCACTCGTACTTATGCTAGGAACATTTTTCTTTGCTATCACCTTTAAGGTTTGTTAGTTTTCTTTGCTTTATTAGTTTGTTAGTTTTCTTTGCCTTAATCAATTATTACCATTATCAGAGTTTTTAATAACATAAAAAATTGGTCATTGTTATTATTTTTATATGCACTATTGATTTGTTTGGTTCATAAAATGGTTATCACTTGGATCTTTCGTTTATTTCGTTGCATTTATATAGACAGTAATAATAGAACAAAAATTTATTTATCACCACAGTCATAAGCTTAAATTTGCATACCATAAATAATATCAATTATTTATCATTTACAACAAATTATGTTATATTAATAATCAAAAAACTAAAGGGGTTATTTGTTTCCAACATCGCTATTGTCCCCAGCGTACTCTCCACCAAACACAAAAGATCGCTACTTTGAGAGATCGCTACTAAGGAGGAAGGGAAGGAAGGGAAAAAATTTATGATGGGTCATTTCTCGATCTTCGATTATATTAATTAGTGATAATTGTAAAGCTGATAATAAATTTATCTTATATCGCACTGATAACAAAGATTATTGGAGAATTTAATGGTGAATTTATTGTCAGAATAAGATTAACGAGTTAAAGCCGATATGAAATTCTGAAATTCCCTCATCGATCTTATTTTGAAAATGAGAACCTATTTAATTTGTAAATTTTCTTATATTTAAATCGCTAATTTGGATTTTTTGGGGAAAATATTTGAAGAAATTTAAAATTAATAAAAATTTAAAATTAATAAAAATTCTAGAAATGTTTATGAATTATTTTAATTAAATTTATATTATTAATTTTAATTAAATTTGTTTTTAATTTATTTTATTATTATTATTTTTATTACTGCAGAGAATGCGAAATAGTCGCTATTTTCCGACGCGAATACGCGGTGTGGTGAGTGATTTTGCAGTAATGATTTCAATAATAATAATGACTTCTGTGGATATGTATGTTGGTATTAATACTCCAAAATTAAATGTTCCATCAACATTCAGAGTAAGTTAAACTATTTAAACTATTTTAAGATTTGTCTTTCAGCAGCGGTTAAAGTAAATGGTTATCAATGGTTATCAGTGGTTATTAATTGTTGTTATATACGAATGAATTATCACTGCAAATATTTTATTTCATTTTGTAGTTATATGTATTTTAGCCAACCTGGTATGGTCGTGGATGGTTCATACCACCATTCAATGGTAATCCACTTTGGACTGTTCCAGCAGCCTTCATTCCTGCCTTATTAGCATGCATTCTTATCTTCATGGATCAGCAAATAACAACTGTTATAGTCAATCGTAAGGAAAATAAATTGAAAAAAGTTAGTTGAGTTTAAATTTTATTTGCAACTAAATTAATTAATTAATTAAACTATTTTATTAATGAAAGATTTCCATAAATTTTTGGCAAATTTTTTATTTAATTAATTAAAAATATTTTTTGATTTTCTAAATTTATTTTGTTTGTTTTTATAAAATTCTATAGTGATTATATAAAGCCTTTTTCTTTAAGCAATTAGGCAGAAAGTATTGTAAGTGTTGTTCAGAGTTTCTGGTTAAGATAGCTCCGTTGACTAGTAGTACGGTTATAAATTTTTGCCAAGAAAACCATTTGGCATTAGCAATATAAGAATAAGGTGAATCACCAAGACACTTGGATTTTATGGATTTTAGTGGTTTTCTGGTTTTCTAGTGGTGAACCGACCTCTGATGCTCGTATGCAACCTTACTTACTGCTTTACTTTCCCTCTACTTCTTGATGAAACTGAATGAAACTTGAGATTTTTTAAATGGAATTGCTCGATTTTTTTAATTGTATTGAGTTGAGTTGAGGTGATAATTTTTACTTCGGTAGCACCACTGTTTTACTACTTAATTATCATAGCTAATATTTTTATTTCTAATTTTTTGTCGTCGTTCAGGGTTGTGGTTATCATTTGGATTTATTTGTACTTTCTTGTCTTATTTTAATCGTTGGATTCTTGGGATTACCAATCTATGTTGCTGCTACAGTGCTTTCCATCAATCACGTTAATTCGCTTCGAGTGGAATCTGATTCTCGGGCGCCTGGCGAAGTAGCTCAATTTATTGGTGTACGGTTAGTAAAATTTTTTATTTCTTAAAATTTTTTTATTTTTGATTAGTTGAATATGATTTTTTCATAATATTTCAGGGAACAACGAGTTACTGGTATAATAACATTCTTATTTATCGGATTGTCAGTATTGATGACAAGGTTTCTAAGTCATATTCCAATGCCCGTTCTATATGGCGTATTTCTTTACATGGGTATCGCCGCTCTCGGTGGAATTCAACTTTTCGATAGAATTCTTCTTCTGTTTATGCCAATGAAGTATGACTATCGTCATATATTATTTTAAAGTTATTATGCGCATAAGCCACTCATTCATGCTTATTCAAGAAAGCATTAAGCATGTGCTAATATTAAAACAATTCATATTTATTTATTTATTAGAAATAAAGAGAAAATTAAAATTAAAATTTAGCCGATAATTTAGCTTCCGCGTTGCATCTTGCACATAGCCATTTTCGGCTTATTTCAGTTCGTTCGTTGGATTTCGAATTGAAACTAAAGTTGTAAAATTTATTATAGTAAAAATTATTACTTAATTGTTAGTTGAATGAATTTATTCTACTCGAAAAATTTAGTTTAATTTAGTTTCAATGAATTTTATTAATTCTACTATTTATTTATGCTTATTTTTTATTTTTCTTTTATTTTTCAGATATCAACCGGATACGATTTATATTCGTCATGTGCCAATTTCTGTTATTCATAAATTTACCTTTTGCCAAGTCGCTTGTCTTGGAATTTTATGGACTGTCAAATCAATCAAGAAAACGTCTATAGCGTTCCCGATTATGGTAATTTATGTTTTTTTCTTAATTTTTTTATAAATTGTAACATTTATTTATAAAATTTATTCATAAAATTTATTTATTCATTTATAAAATATATTTACAAATTATTTTATAAAATCATCTTTTTTTTGCAAATTTGCAAATTATCTTTATTTATTATTTATTTTTCATTTTTTTCATTGCAGTTGGTAGTAATGGTTGCGGTTCGAAAACTTATGGAGAAATTTTTTTCGGAAAAAGATTTAAAATATCTCGATGATAAAATGCCTGATTTTCATCTACGAAAGAAGGAAGATTTGAGTAAAACGCAAAGTATCGGAGTATGATTTGTATTTGTATTTTTTCTCGAATTTTAAAAATATTTCAAAAGAATTTTATATAATTTTTATGTCTATTTGATATATATTTTAGAGTCGATTAGCATAATGGTTAATTACTATATTTGCGATTTTTTCTTTTTTTTAGGAAGATATTGAAATCGATTTGGATCAAAATCAAGGAACAATACATGCGGTGAAGACAGAAGCTCATTTACATATACCGACAAATGATGGCAGTATCATAAAAATTCCATTAGCTGCACTTCAGCAACCATCTCATAATATTAATATTTCGAAGGAAATGGATAAAAGTGGCTTATGGAAGCATATCTCATCGGAATCCTATTCATCGTTGCAAAAAGTTGCGGATAGGTATACTATGGTTTATTCTTCTTCTCCTTCTATAGCTCTTATCATTACTGATTAGGCTAACCGCGCTAACTACAAATATATATCTATTTATTTTCATTCATAATTTTTATTTTTATTTTTTATTTTTATTTAATTTTCCTCCTATTTCTTTAATTTTATTCGCTATTTTAGAGAATTACCAACAGCGACTCGCATACCAGAAGAAGATGAAGAAAATATTTTGGAAGATGAAGATGCAATAATGATTAAAGTGATTAAACCATCGCCGTTTAGTTCGAGTAATCAGCTAAATACCGAGCAAACTCCTCTATTAACGTCGGATAACGAAAAATCGCATCCTAATGTTTAGCAGGGTTTTCTCTTTTTCCAATAAACAATAATTTTATAACGAATGTTTTAAAAAGAAAAATTTGGAAAAATTTTCAATAAAATTTCCTGAAATTTCATTTGTTGTTTTATAGGCTTTTTGTTGTTTAGCGAATATATATAAATAATATAAATAATTTCTTAAACGAATAAAAATGCATTAAAGTGCATTTTTTTTTATTTGTTATTGAAAAATATAGCTTAAATAATTTTTTAAGAAACGAATTTTTCGTTGATATTTCCATAATAATTAATAATTAATAATAATAATATTAATAATAGTAATAATAAAAAAGGCGGGTATGGATATTATTGAAAGGCCTTTTTAAGTCTTTAAAATTATTTCCAACTTGCCAACTATTTGTATATTTATTGATAAAATGTAGAAATAAACTAAATACTTGTTAAATTAGCATAATACGTTTTTTATTTTCAAGGCTTATAAGAGGATTTTTGATTTTTTAATTTTATTTTATTTTAAATTTCAAATTTAATTTAAAATTTTTTACATTAGTTTTATTAAATAAAAACGTTTAAATTTTTAAATTAAATGATATTTTCAAAATTTTTTTATATTCTAAAATTTTTTAGAAATTTTTTTTCAAAAGTCCTCTTTTTTTTAGTGGTTTTTTTTTATTCGTTCGATATATTGGCGCATACTGATAATTTTCATATAATTTTACGACTTCAAGCCTTCATTTTTATAAAATTTCAATTCAAATTTCTGCTTTTTCATTGTAAAAATTAGTAATTTCACAAAATTTTTCAGGAAATGAAATTTGCCTATTAATAAAGAAATTTTTATGTGGGAAAAAATTTTTTTTGTTATAATTCTTAATGAAAAAAAAAATTAAATGATAATTTTTGGAAACATTCTTTTTGTTTATTGATAATGATGGTACTAATTGGTTGTAATAGATGATAATGGATGATAATGAAAAATATCAAAGAAAAATATGTTTATATGTTTATATACGTTTCCTTTGGATTCAAATTGCAAATTTTTAATTGAATTGGGCTAAATCATTTAATCTAAACGTTAAATTTTTTTGAATAATTTTCTGAAGTTTTTGTTTTCGTTTTCTGTTAGCATAATTTTTTTACATTTTTTATCATTCGATTTATCATTTTTACCAGTTATCATTTCCTCTCTCTCTCTCTAATCATTGAGAGATGAGAAAAGTAGTTCGTACAAGTAATTTTTTAAATTTGAATCAAAATAAAGTCGAATTTTTTTTTTCGCTTTATTGTTTTCAAATTTTGTTTTTTATGAGAATTTCTTTATTTTTAAAAATAAAGTTTTATAAGGTTTATCATTTTTTTTACAACAAATTTCGATCGGAATTAAAAGCGTTCTTACAAATGAATTTCTCGTTAACAACATAAATAGTTGCTAATTTGCCTGGTTATGGTAGATAGATATTTGGTTGAGAAGACTGGAGAGACATTCGGTGATGAAAAGTATAAAAAGGTGCAAGTGAGGTGCAAAGATATAAAGTGTCCCTGGTTCGATTAGAATTCAAATTTCGACGATAGTCTCATTCCTATCAAAGGACAGAGATCAGGCATGAAATCGTTTGATCATAACGATAAAGCAATATTCCATGCATTTACTCCAGAAATCGGTATCGAATTTCTTATGCATACAAAAAATGGCGAGGAAATGAAGTATCACTGGTCGATTTGGATCCAAAGTTTATGAAGCTCCATTTAAATCACCATTTGTGGATATTTATTTTTCAACCAAAGGGAATTTTATGAAATTTTATACTACAAATGGTTTTCTTTTCATAGATGATTTTATTATGTGAATTTCATTTTCATCTCAGTTTAGATTCTGTTTCAGATTTCTTCCTAATAAATATATATTTTTCTAAAAAAAAATACCTGTTTTTCTCACGAATTTTAGTTATATTGTTTAATTAATTTTATTTATAATTCAAATTTCAATTAATAATTTTAATAATTTATAATTATTAAATAATAATAATTTAATTATAATTTAAATTTAATTTTAATGATAATTTGTAATTTTTAATTAATTTATAATTTAAATTATTAATTTTAATAATTATAATTCTATAATTTTAAAATAATTTAATTTTATATAATTTAATTTGTAATTTGGTCTATAATTTTTTGCAAGTTAATTCGTAAAATTTTACTGATAATAAGACTGATAATGATATCTAATGTTTCTGATCTTAATCACTCCAATATAATTATTTCCGGAATCAAAATGGATTATGAGTAATGTTTTAAAGAAATACCACTACGAAAATTTACGCTACCTTTAGCGTAAGTGAATTGAGCTCTTAAAAAAGCAAAATTCCCTTGGCTATTTTATCTATTCAACTTGGAAGATATTGTCTTTCCAGAATTTTTTACATTTTCATTGCCTTTTTTTCCAAAACCTTATCGACAATTTTATTTTATGTTCACATTTATCCTTTTATTAAATTATGAAAGAACTATGAAGAAGAAATTTTATATGAATGATTTACAATAGTGGAATATCTATATATATCTATATATATATATATATATATATAATTATATATAAATACATTAAAATAATATTAATTATAAAATATATTAATATAATAATATAAAATATATTAATTATATATGTATATATATTAAAATATATATAATTTTGTAATATATAATTTACAATTATATATATTATCTATAATTTTATATATATATATATGTAATAAAAATTGTATAATAATTATAAAAGTCCAAACAATATAGGTATTTTTAGCACATGAAAAAATTTTTAGTAACAACAATACTCGTTAACTTATTTAAATCAAATCAACCAGGTGAGCAGATTATTTCAGGTTTTGTTGAGGTTTTCGTGTTGTTTTATTAGAAATATTTATTTATTTTACATATGAATAAAATTTATGAATAAAATTTGCTTTGTCATAGAAAATCGCTATTTTTACCGATTGTCGACGTAAAAATTACAACTATTCACCTGTTATGCGCAAAAATGCCTCAAAATTACAAATATTCATCTGCTATGCCCAAAAATAATTGATTCTAATTGAAATAAGTAGCAAAACACGTGAAAAAATTTAGAAATTTACGACCGCTGAAATCCACCGTTGAGATTTGTTTAGGAGGAAGGAGTGAATTTGTATTAGGTTTTAAATAAATTTTCCTACGAATAATTTTTTTGTTATTTAATTTCATTCGAATCTTAAAACACTATTTAACCTTAAATTCTTTACGCTGGCTGACTTATCGCATTAGACAAATATGCCAGTTCTCTTAGAATTCGCCAACATCATCCGGTGCACTCTTGCCGGAAAGAGAAACTCACCATTGGAGAAAAACATACCAGCGAGTCCCCTTAGTCGTCACCATCACATGGGTTCTTGAAAGGGTTTACTCGTGCGGAAAGTAGAATCCCAGCATTGGCCCTCCGAGTTGGGCGACAACCTACTGTGTACCGATTATTTTGTCTTAATTCCTGCGAAATATACAGGTACCATGTACTAAATATACTTATATATAAATGCTTATATATTAAATATACTTATAAAGATAAATAAAGGTTTGAAATATTTAAAAAATTATCTAAATTAAAAAGTTCAAGGAACCAAATAAATTAAAAAATTTAATATTTACGTATGGTAATAATAATTATTATAAAAAAATAATAAATAAATTATAAAATTAAAAATTAATAATAAATATGGTAATGAAAATGATTTTGAAAGGATCAATTTTAATTTTTAGAAAATTTTTTATTTTTTAATTTGTTAATATAAAAAAATTTCTTTTTCTCAAATTTAAAAATAAATATTTTATTTCTTAAATTTCAAATTCTAAATCTATCTTATTGATCAAATAAATGAGGCTTTTAATGAAATTTTCTTCGCAAATTTTCAATCATAAATTTCCTTTTTTAAGAATTTATTTTCCAGCGAAAAACGAAATTTCTTCTAATTAATTTTATTTCGGACAAAATAAATCGCTTTTGAAAAAGTTGATTTTATTTCGAAGTAAAAATTTATTTTTATGAGAAACAAATATAAATATTGCTTAAAATATATTTTAATTTTTTTGATTTATTGTGAAAAAAATTAAAATTAAAATAAAATTAATAAAAATTTAGAAAAATCGATAAAAACGATATAGAAAATGTTCTAAAAGCAAATTTTAGAGAATATTTCCCTAAAAAAATAAACGGAATCCTAGGCGAATCTAAATCAGGAAAATCTAAATCCATAGATATTTGATTAAATTAAAAATTTTGATAAAATTTTTCGTAAAATCTCGTTAATTTTCATTGTTCGATGTGAAATTATAAGGCACAATTTCAATTAAATTATATTAAATCACTCGATTATTTGATTATTTTTTAGTTATTTTTTTGATGATGTTTTTTAATAAATAATAAATGTTATTAATAAGTAAATATTATAGAAAAATTCTGTTTTGTATAAATTACTGAAAAAATAAAAAATAAAAATAAAAACAAATTGAATTTTCTCATAGGCTGATTATAATTATTGTTATCATTATTATTATATTATTAATCTTTATTATTATTAATCTTTTTTACTTATAATATTTATTATTTATTAAATAATAAATAATAATAAACCGTACCGTACTTTATTTCTTTCGTGCTTTAGGCATTCTTTTAATTGCTAATTTATTTGGTTAATGAAGTATGACCAATGGCTTAAAATAATATAAAACAAAAAATAGAAATAGAAATAAAATAAAATAGAAAAAATAGAAATAGAAATGTATGTGGTAAGCAAATCTAAATAATCAAGAATCATGAATCGTCGTCATTTTTTTCTATTTGTACTCGTATAAACTTTATTTTTTCTATTTTTACTCGTATAAATTTTGAATTATTTAATAAAATAAGATTTTAAAATTCGAAAACAAACGGAATATTTACAGTTTTTTCATCAAAACGACTTGAAATTACTATAAATTTCTCAAATTTTACTTCATTTTAGTTGTAACTTTATAAAGCAATTAAGTATAGATTATAGATCTACTAGAAATTTTTCTATTCGCTCATTTGCGGTTGATATTCGCGACTCACCTCAATCTCGCTAAGATACTTCTTGGATACTCTGCTTAGTCTAACAAGCCAGTCGAGCGAGTCTTATCGGTAGCAGTGAGTCCTCTTAAAAAAAAAATTTCGTGATACAATTACGAGAGAGTATTT